GAGGGCCGAACCTCGTTAACACATCGCGCGTCAAGGATAACGAACTCCTAACCCTATCTTGTAGGCGTCTAAAAATACCTATGGGTGTCCGTACACGACTCGAGACAGAGAGAAGATGATAAACATCGCTATTAGAGTCGCAGGAGCTCGTTTGACAATGACAAACACATGAAGTGAGTCGACGGGTCATACGAAGCAACGGAACTTCGGAATAACGGAAACGAGAGCTGATCGGGAGCCCCACGTCATTTACAAAAGGCGGAGCACCCCTCGTGTCCTATTTATTCCACATATGATTCAATTATGGGAGCCTGTAGATCTCCTCGTCGGCTTTCCAACGCATCTTGAATCGCCTCATTCCGAGGTCGGATGAGTGAGTTAAGGCTGTTACAGTAACCACGGGTCGGATGGTTGCTACAGTGCGCGGGTCAGACGGGTCGGAATTTGCTACAGTGATTTGACCGCACAAAGAAGTGAAGTTTTGACTATGCTGCGATTTGAATCTGAAAAATTTCAAAACATAAAAGTTGTAGATCTCTTCGTTAGCTTTCCAACGGATCTGGAATCAGCCTAATCGGAGATCGTACGAAAGAGTTATGACCAAAATACCGCAGATATCTCAAACTGACCCGCGCTACAGTAACAGCGGGTCGGAATTTTCCGACCCGCGCTACAGTAACCGGCTAATGCCGTGATCTCAGCAAAACTATAAAAATTGACCACTCTTATACTCTCCATCATTATCTACACGAAGCGTCTTCACTTTTCTACCTGTCTGCAGCTCCATTTTCTTCTTCCACTCAACGAATATATCCAGGACCTCATGTTTATGCTTCATGGTATATACTCAATTTCTCCTGGAATAATCATCAATGGAAGTGACAAAATAGTTGGCCCCACTAAGTGATGTGCACTTGGAAGGGCCTTAAATATCTGTGTGAATATAATCCAATATACCTTGGGTGTTATGAATTGTGGTGCCGAATTTCACTTTAGTCTTCTTCCTAAGTACACAATGCTCACACAGCTCCATCTTGCAGGTCTTTGCACTTGTCAATAGCCCATGTTTAGCCAATGTCTGCAGGGACTTATTACCAATATGTCCCAATCTCATATGTCATAAGCTGGTAGTATCCTCCTCTGTAATGATAGAAGTTGTCAGATCCCCTGTAACTGTCTTGCCCTTCAAATAGTATAGGTTATTTTCCCCGACACCTCGCATCACCACCATAGACCCTTTTGTGACCTTCAAAGTGACATTCTCTAATATCACACGATAGTCTGCTGCCTCCAAAATCCTAAGAAAAATGATGTTCTTCGTCAACTGTGGAACGAACCTCACTTCCTTCAGCTCCCTAGTCACTCCGTCACACATCCTGATTCAGACTGTACCAATACCACTAATATGGTATACATAATTATTACCCATAAGCACGACATCCTTCTTTCCAACTCCTCAAAGCTGGAGAACCAATCCATCATAGGGCAAATGTGATATGTAGCTCCCGAATCCAACATCCACTCCGTAGAGTCGACATAAAAAAACTAACGGTAGTGTAGGGTACGAGTAGCCCGAAGAATCTGAATCTGAATTGTCGCCACCAGCCTTGGCAACATTCACCTCTGAAGCTTGTACAACTTTCCCCTTGTTCTTCCCGGGTTTATCCTTCATCTTTGGGCATTCATTCTTTCAATGTCCCTTTTTTTTTTACAAAAGACACATTGATTTCTACTAACAATCTTATGGCCACCTCTATTCTTCAACTTTGAGCGTTAAATTGGCAGCGGTTTGGACTACCGCCTCGAACTCCTAATGCATCTCTCGATGCCTTCTCGGAGGGTTCGCCATCACTCTTCCTCAACTCATAGTTCACCAATACCGAGGTCACCTTGTTGTAACAGTAGTTCTTCCATTGATCATAGTGAGAACGAATGCACCATAATCATCCTCCAGCAACGAACACAATAGCAACATCGCCTTATCTTCATCCTCAACCATGATGTCCACATTGGCCATATCCGAAAGCAACTTTGTAAAGTTATTGACATGCTCTCTAATAGAAACTCCCCTCTTTATATCTTGAATTGTTAAAATCTCTTCTTCAAGTGAAGTCGTTTCTCAATGCTCTTCGTAAGATACTTCTCATTGAGTGTTCCCCATAATCTCTTCACTGATGTCTCGTTCATCACATCATAAATCAAATCCAACGTCAAGCATTGACCGAATAACTCCTCATGCTCTACTATTCAACTTCATCCAAACCTTATCCTCCATATCATCGGGTTTCTCTTGTAATTCAAGAGTCTACTCTAAGTTCTAGGTATTCAACGCATCCATCATCTGACACCTCCACAAACCGAAATTAATCTTACCATCGAACTTCAGAACATCAATCTTTGTATTATTGAAGCTCAGACTCTGTATCGCCTTCGAAAGGGACGATCTCGATGTGCTTGCTTTACCCATGTTGATGATCTAACTCTTCAAATAAGAATCCTTCAGAGAATCCTCCAAACGAGCCCCAAGCCAAACCCTAATCTCTGATACCACTAACAAGAACGAGATAGATCACAACCAATAAGTAAAACACAATCACCACCAGCAAGACAAACGAATTTTACGTGGTTTGGCAAGTTGTCTACGTCCACGGGGCAAGTAGGAGAAAGTTTTTACTATTAGAGGTAAATATAATACAAATAGGGTTTATAATCTCACCAAAAACCCTCAAACAAAGCTCTCAAAATCTCTCACAAATTCTCCCTCAAAGGATGCACAAATCTCTCTCAAAAGATGCTCAAAGTCGTCCTTTTTATTCACCCTAGAAACAACAATGTTTCTATTTATATGAACGGTAAACCCAAACCAATCAGGAAACTGGATCTAGGCCCAAAAACGCGATCCGGTCGACCGCACATATAGTCCGGTCGATCGACCAGAAGGCTGAAAACTCAGCTTAACGATTACATGGTTTCGGTCGGCCGGACTTAGCCTAGCGGTCGAGCGAACAGGGTTCGCGGTCGACCGACCTAGTATCGCGGTCGACCGGACAGAAAGCCAAAATAACACCCTGTAGCGTGCACGTTTCTGGTCGACCGGACTGCATCCAAAAGTTTGCTTGGTTCGTTTTTCCTGTTCTTCGTCGCCATTTTCGCCGTTTCTACAGAGATGTTGATCATAAAATGAAGCGCACCACTTCGTTTTGTATGGAGTATCTGTCGTCTTACAATGCTGGCTCAGTATAATTTTATGTTTAGATTCCATAAGAATTACAGCAGAAACTGTATTCGGTGTAAAATCTTTATTTATTTCCTTTTTTGATCTCTTGTTCAACCCAAATTCTATATCTTCAGTTGTTTTCCTCAAAACTCCCTTAACAATTGAAGCCATTCTCAACGTTTCTAAAATCACCTACAGCATATAGAAAATCCATTAAAAATCCATTAGCTTTTAACCTTGCAAACCATTTCCTAACAGATGAAAGGTCAGTTCATCTGCTTACTGCACGAGTGAAGTTCATGGACTTGTAGTCGTTAGAGTTAAGTGCATCCCCAGGTAACTTCCCTTTTCTGATTTCTAAATGTTCATTCTGCAGTCAGTAATCGGTTGCTAATCAAACTTAAACTAGTCATAAAAATAGAAAAGAAATTAATCACAACACTCAATTCATACCCTGAGATCTTCAAGGATTTTTGGGTGATCATGGAGGTACTTGACAGCCATCATCGATGTCGTGGAAACAGTTTCATAACTTGAATAAATCAGAGCAATGATCACATCGATGATCTGATCATTCGTCAGTTTTGCTTTTGATCCTTCCTCAGGCTGCAATAGGCAATCAAGCATGTCATGATGCAAGCTCGAAGAAGCTCTTCTTTCTTCAATAATCTCTGTCAACATACATATAATTTTCTTCCTTGCCTGAAAATGCAAAGTAATTTGTTAATAATGGACAAGAAATTTCTTGACAATGAACAAGTAATTTGACTATCTTATCTTTATTGTGGATATTGATTTTTTTTTTAATTTTTAGAGCGGGATTCTTACCCGTAATCTCCAAGAGGAACAAATGTTTTTTTATTTCTATAACTTTTGTAAGACACGTATACATTATATTTTTGTAATTGGGCATGTTTCATTAAACCCTTATTTTAAGGGCATTATACCCTCCTGTTGCGTGTCGTGCCGAAGCGTGCTTGACAACTAAACGAGTCCACGAGCGATGAGAGAAGAAAACCAAATCAAATACAAGTGCAATTCACCAAAACACGATACAAATCAAACTAAACACAGAGATTACGTGGTTCGGCAATTGCCTACGTCCACGGGGAGAGGATGAGAAGATTTCACTATATGGAGGAGAAATACAAAGGATTACAACTCACAAAATCACTCAAATATAACTCTAACCAAAGCTCTCAACTCCCTCATAATATCTCCCTCCAACGTGCTCAAAAGACTGCTAATTCTCTCCTATTGAAACCCTAGAAACGTGTTTGTATTTATATCAAACACCCAATCCAAAACCAACCAGGAAAACCAAATCTGGCCCATAACTGCTTCGTGGTCGACCGGACATAGACCTATGGTCGACCGGCCAGAAAGATAAATATCAGCCCTGTAATGTGCACGTTTTCGGTCGAACGGTCGAACTCGTTCGGTCGAACGGTTGAACGACCGACCAGAACAGGATTTCAGACCCTGTTAACCAACAGTCTGTCGGTCGATCGGGCCTATGCGTCGGTCGACATACTCGTAGCCTATCCTGTGTACTTCAAAATTTCCGTTCTTTTTCGTCGTTTCTTCAATTCTCCACCTCGAAGAAGTTTTCCCAAAACCGAGTCGACACCAAACATGAGCACCACTGCGTCGTCTCACTAAATTTGGCTGCACCAATATGGTTGCCTAAAAATTACTGGAGGTAACTAATCCCTATCAAACATCGATGATAGAAGTTACAATTTAACGGTTTTCAGAAGGTTACAATTTGAAATTTTTTTATGTAGATCGATGAAGGTTATAATTTGACGACCTTCACAACAACCGATAAAAGCCCTAAGTCAACAGCCTTCACAATCAACATCGAGAGTTACAATCTGATGACACTCATATTTTTAAGGAGCCAAGATGAAGGTTATAAGATGACGATCTTTACAACGCTCTAATAAAAGAGACTACAAATTGATGGTCTCTTCAAATCAAAACACAGATATCTCTTAAACCGTAAGGAATTTGGCTAAACGGACGGTGTTGGCCCTATGGTTTTGATGATGATTTGTCAAACAATTTATAGCTAATCTGTTTTTTTTTGTGGTTTGTTTTTTCTCTTTATAGAAATTCAACACATGGCGATCAAGAGTTAAAGATTCAAGTTCATGTGTGCGCTTTCTCCTACGTATAAGAGAAGTTGATCAAGAGTTAAAGATTCAAGTTCATGTGTGCGCTTTCTCCTACGTATAAGAGAAGTTTACTTACATATATCGTATGACTATATTTAAGCTCAATATGTAAACACAACACAAGTTTGACTTTTTCTATCATACAAATGACTTTTTATCAAACTTTGTTACAATAATTTTTATTTCATGTTTACATCTCTCTCACACTTCATAATATATATATATAATGTATGCATGATATATATACACAAGTTTACAAATCATAGTTCAATTTATGTTTTCACGAAAAACAGGTTTTATGTACACTTTTCAAAAACAATGAGTTTTCACAAACGAAAATTGTATTTCTAAAATTTCCTTTTCCTCACAAAGTTTTACTATTTTTGGAATTGATTTAATATTTTTATTGTATTTTTAAAGTCAGTCAAAAACCTATAAAAATCTCTGTGTCAGTTTGCGGTCGACCGCCACGGTCGACCGCCTGCAGTTCAAAATCCTATTTTACCTTTTAATGGCTCGTGATCGATCGTGGCGGTCGACCGTAGCACATCCAGAGACTTTCGCGGTTGACCGCGAAAGTCTCTGGATGTGCTACGGTCGACCGCCACGGTCGACCGCCTGCTTTTCAGAACAGTTCTCCTGCTTTTAACTCTTCGCGGTCGACTGTCAGATTTTCACGATCAACCGCCGAATTGACCGTTGTGTTGCAACGACTATTTTTTGATTTAATTCTCTGGGGGTATTTTGGTCTTTTCAATATGATTTTGGCTGATTTCTTGAGTGGGTATAAATACCCCAGTGCCTTCCTCTTTCAAAAGCATCTAAGAGTTTTGTTTACAGTGAGTTTTATCAAAAGATTAGCAAGTGTTTAAGCTGGTTTTGTTGGTCTGTTTCAAAAGAAGTTTTCTACAGCAAGAAGAGGCTTTCAATTCCAACTGAGGATCTTATCCTCATCATTCTACAGTTCTTCCTGTTTATTAAGAAGTTTTCTAAACTCATTTTCATATAGCTTGTTATTTCATTTTCATATCTTAGCTATATTATTTTAGTTACATATTTTCATTTCACTTTTATCACACACACTGTATTGAGCTTATAATATTTACATACAATATATCGTTGGGTAATGGTGTGTGATTTAGTGAGAGTGAGCTTCATTGTGTTCTCATTTACTATCGAGAACAAATCATTGTATTTAAACCCTTATTGTGAGTATCACTTATAATACACTTGTATACTGAGAGAAGTGTGAGGCGTGAGACGGAGTCGAATCCAATAGGAGTGGCGTCGGTTGACAAACCTAGGGAGAGGTTGTATCCGAGCACTTGAGGAGGAGGATACGGGCTAGAATCCTACACTTAGTGTGTAAAGTGTGATTGCATAGTGTTTGTTGTGTGAAAGTTTTCGGTAAACTTATAAACCGAGTGTGTAGAAGTTTCGGCTTCCAAACCGGATTGTAATAGTGGAGGTCTCCTCGAGGTGAGGAGCGGGGACATAGGTCGTGGGGACCGAACCTCGTAAACATATCGTATGTTTGTGTTTGCTTAGCATAATTTTTTACTTGTGCTTATTCTTGTTCATATCTATCTCATATATCTCTTGTAAGAACAAATTAATCAATATAATTTTAATTAGAATAAAATAGGGATTAGATTAGCATAAGATCCTAATCACCCCCTCTAGGGTCTAATAGACGGGAGCAACCCTAACCCTTTGGGTAGGTTTGGTCGGCTCTATCTCGTTGAGATAGTTGATTTTTATATATAATTCATCCAATTCCGACTTACGGTTTAAAAGTTATGACTTGTTCTTCGCAGTAAGTTATGTTCTGAAGTCCGTCTGCAAGACTGGACTTCGCCTAAACATTAGACTTAGCCTGAAGCTCGCCAAGCTCGCCTGAGGCTCGCCTCTGCGTTCCAGAGTAAAAATACAGAGTTCATCTCTGCGTCCTAACAACAAAACGCAGGGTTCATCGCTGCATTCCAGATCCAAACGCAGCTTTCATTGCTGCGTTTTTAGGCCAAAATGCAGGGTTCATCACTGCATTCCAGATCTAAACGCAGCTTTCATTGTTGTGTTTTCAGCCCAAAACGTAGGGTTCATCACTGTGTTCTAGATCCAAACGCAGCTTTTATTGCTACGTTTTCAGCCTAAAAAGCAGAACCTAACTCTGCATCCCAGGATCAAGACGCAGAGTTCATTCCAAAACGCGAATTGTGCGTTTGACTGGTTCAAATAGAACCTAAACGGTTTCAAAACCGTTTTTCCACTTAATGGGGGCAGTTACACCCTATAAACCCTCATTAAGGAGCAAATCAAGTGGCGGTTACACCCCTTAATCTCCTATAAATAGCTAAAATTTTAGCTTAATTGGAACTCGGTTCTTTGGAGGGGATTTCTGGAGAATTAAGATCGACAATTATCTCTTAGAGCACCTTCGAATCTTGGAGGGCCTAGAGCATCATCAAGAGCCATTCTGGGAGCTTTTATTGGCTTGTGGATTAATTTCGGTGTAATTAAAAAGGATTAATTTCCTTTTCTCAGTTCAACTCTTTCATAGAGTTTCAAACTCGCACTGAGTTCTTAAACTCGTTAAGAGTTATTCTTAAAATTGTCAAGCAAGTTCTCCTTAACGTCAATCAAGAGGAAAATATCGTGTTCTAACGAGGTGAAGCATTCAGATCGTCAACAGAAAATAAGCTAGACACGAACATCGAGGGAGTCATTCCATCGACACTAAGAAGAACCCATGTTAAATAAAGGGAATGGTCTCCGTCGATCTCTTCTCTCTTTTGTAAATCAGGAAACCGATCGAGAAAATTATAATTTCTTTTTCTAAACCAGTTAGAGAGGGATTGCATTGAGAGAATTATAATTAATTTTTTTTTAAGTCTGTTAGAGAGAATAATACAAATTCAATTCTCTATTCTCTTCATTCAATTTTCCCACCAAACATTCATCCAAATGGCCACGAACGACTTCAACAATTACGAATTTGCAACAAGTTTCTACAATGATCGAACTTGTTGCTCAGAACCACCTTTATGAGCATATCCGCCAGATTATCTTTCGTGTGGACTTTCATAATCTCAACATCCCCATCTTCAAAAACATCTCGAACGACGTGATAATGAATGTCGATATGCTTCTCCCTCGTATGAAAGATCTAATTCTTCACCAAATAAATAGCACTCATGCAGAACCACATTTGTGAGCATATCCGCCGGATTATCTTTCATGTGGATTTTCACAATCTCCACATCCCCATCTTCAAAAATATCTCGAATGACGTGATAACGAATATCGATATGCTTCGCTCTCGCATGAAAGATCTGATTCTTCACCAAATAAATAGCACTCATGCTATCATAATAAATGGTGACGGATCGTTGCGAAACACCAAGATCCTCCAAAAGTCCTTGAAGCCAAATCGCCTCCTTAACAACCTCTGTAATTGCTATATACTTTGTCTCCATCATCGATAAAGCCACCGTAGACTACAAGGTGCATCTCCAACACACCGGTACACGGGTCAAAGTGAACACATATCCCGTAGTAGACCGGTGTTTATCCAAATCTCCAGCGTAGTTCGAATCTACGTATCCAATACATAGCTGCCCACCACTAGTGTCCCGCTCAAAAACCACCAACCTTGAAAGTACCTCGAATATACCTCAAAATCCCTCTCACGGCATCTCAATGACTCGGACCTAGGTCGTGCATGTATCTCGAAACCATGCTCAATGCCTGTGATAAATCCAGCCTCGTACAAACCATGATGTACATCAAACCACAAACTGTGCTCGTATATGGAGTCTTCGACATCAACTCTCGATATTCAACTGTCTTCGGTGAAAGGTCAGTTGAAAGCTTCAAATGGGCTCCCAATGGTACACTAACTGGCTTCGTTTTCATGCTCACATTAAACCGCTGTAGAACCTTATTCAAATAAGCCACATGTGTCAAACAAAATCTACCCTTGTCTCTGTTTATCACGGATTTCCATCCCCAAAATACGCTTAGCTTCACCCAAATCCTTCATCTCTAACTCGCTCGAAAGCTGAATCTTCAATCTATCTATCACGGATTTGGAAGTAGAAGCAACTAACATGTCATCGAAATAAAGCAATAAATAAATGTACGCACCTTCATTTAACTTACGATAGTATACGTAAGGATCAAAGTGACTCCTAATGTACGAATGACTAATCATGAACCCATCAAATCGCTTATACCACTGTCGAGGAGATTGCTTCAGCCCACTATAATGATTTCTTCAACCTACAAACCAATTTTTCCTTCCCTGCAGCTTGGAATCCCAATGGTTGAGTCATATATATTTCCTCATCAATATCACCATGAAAAAAATGATGTTTTCGCATCTAATTAATCTAATTCTAAACCATACTATGTCACCAAAGCTAGCAAAATCTGAATCGAAGAATGCTTCACCACCAGAGAGAAGACCTCAGTAGTCAATACCTTCCTCTTGTGTATAACCCTTCGCAACCAACCTAGTTTTGAATCTCATGGGAGTGCCTTCAATGTCCTCCTTCTTTGTATACACCCACTTGCAATCAATAGCCTTTTATCCCTTTGGAAGCTCGACAAACTTCCATGTGTCGTTTCTATGAAGAGATTTCATCTCCTCCTGCATAGCCACCAGCCACAAATCAGCCTCTGAACTCTGCTTGACCTCTCTAAATGTAGTAGGAATTATCTCATCGACACTCTCCATTGAAAGTGCATATGTAACGACTGTGTCTGTATACCTCGCTGGCATTTGTATGTTTCTCCTCTGTCTTTGAACAACAATAAAATCTTAAACCTGAGCCGTCAGTCCTTGATCCTGCTAAACTGTATCTGTATCCTCCAAATCATCATCGTGCTCACCTGGCGTCACCTCAGTCGGCACTCTAATGAATACAATTCTATCTGGATAATGTGGAGCTGCATCAATCTTCACCACCTGTAAGTGGGAAGATAGAAGCCTCATCAAATATGACGTCTCTACTCAACACAATCTTCTTATCAACTGGATCCCAAAAATTTTATTCCGTGACACCATGCTTGAATCCCACAAATATGGCCTTCTTAGCTCGAGGTTCTAATTTATCTATTCTAACATGATAAAATACAGAACACCCAAATACATTGAGCTAATTATAATCATGTCCTAGCTCTCCTGACCACATCTTAATAGGGGTTTTCCCCTCAATTGCAGATGAAAGCAGCCTATTAGTGAGATGGCTTGCATAAGAAAGTACATCAGCCCAAAAGATCTTCTCCAAACCACTCTGCGATAATAAACATTAGACCTTTTCTAGCAAAGACTGATTCAACTTTTCTGCCACCCTATTCTGTTACGGTATATGACTAACTATGAAGTATCTCTCTATGCCATCGTCTCGACATAACCGCTGAAAGGGGTCAGAAGTATACTCACCGCCGTTGTTAGATCGTAATGTCTTAATCTTTTTCCTAGTCTGCAGTTCTAATCTCTTCTTCCACTCCATAAATATCTCTAGGACTTCACTCTTCTTCGTCATGATGTACACCCAATAACGTCTAGAATAATCATCTACAAACGTGATGAACCAATGTCGACCACTAAGTGATGCCGTTTTGGTGGGACCCCAAACATCTTGGATGGTTATCCCGAACTTCACATTCGTCTTCTTGTTAAGAACACAATGTTTACAGAACTTAACTTTCCCACTCTTGGCTCTCTTCAATAGTCCCCGTTTGCACAAAGTTTATAATGACTTTTCACCTATGTACCTCAACCTATAGTGCCAAAGCCTGATCGCATCCGTCTCTGAAATAGTTGAAGCTACCTGGCTAATCTCGGTGCTCCCTTTCAGATAATACAAATTCCTACTACGGACTCTATTCATCACCACCAAAGATCCTTTAGTAACATTCACTACAGCGTTCTCAAATGTCACATTGAATCTTATCGCCTCCAAAGCTCCAACTGAAATAAGATTCTTCTTCAACTGAGGAACAAATCTCACTTCATTTAATTCACGAACTACTCCATTGTGCATCCGAATCCTGGTGATACATATCCCATAAATACCACAGGATTAATCATTTCCCATGACTACAACGCCCCATCGAGTTTCTCGAACGATGCAAACCAATCTCATAGGGGAGTCACATGATAAGTAGCACCAGAATCAAGCATCTAATCAGATGCATCCACATAGTTCACCTCTGGAGTAATCAATAGAAAAAAAAACATGAATCATCGGAATCATCACCTCTCGCGACGTTCACCTCATTAGCCTTCGGGCCCTTCTTCTTGTTATTCTCCTTCTCATTGAGCTTCGGACAATCTCTCTTCTAATGTCCTTCTTCCTTGTAGAACACACACTGGTTCTTTGCTAACTGGTGGTGACCCTTTGACTTTGACATGTTCCTATTACCACCTCTTGAATATGGACTTCTACCTCTCGTCAACAAGGCCTCTCCTGAAGTGCTAGTACAGGAAGTTTATTTGTCATTTCTTCTCAAATCGTAGTTCTTCAATGCATTAGTCACTTCACTGTAGGTGATAGAAGATCTCCCGTTCAACAAAGTGAGCACGAATGTATCATACTCCTCATCGGGTAAGGAGTCTAACAAGATAATCGCCTTGTACTCGTCTGTTATCTTCTCATCCACGTACGCTAAGTCCGACAACAACTTTGTATAGTTGTTCACATGAGCCGCAAGTGAAGTGCCCTTGGACATCTGGAATCTGAATAATCTCCGCAGCAAGTACAACCGATTCTCAACACTCTTCGTAAGGTACTTGTTAAGAATCTCCCACATCTTCATTGCAGACGTCATCCCAATCACATCGTATTTTAGCTCTTGTTCCCAACAAGACCTGATCACCCCACAAGTATTCATATTCATCTTGTCCTATATCGTCTCATCATATTTCGGTGGCCTCTCATGGATCATAATGGTCTCTTCTAAATTTTAAGCATTTAGAGCGTCATGTACGTCGCTCATCCATAAATTAAAATTGATTTTGCCGTCATACTTCACCACACTAATCTTAGTGTTTTGAAATCCAACCTGAACTGTACTCGCTATCGTCTTGGTGCTTTCACCAACTTCTTCTCTCATTGAAAACCACTCCAAATTATAAAAAAATTCAAACTTTGATAGAAATTGAGAAATTTCCCAACTGAACCCTAGATAGGAT